CTATATTTTTAAATGTAAAGAAAGTTCTTAATTTTTACACTTATGTTTTCAATTTTTTTTCATTATATTTTTAATCTCAATCTTCTATTAATTAGTATATATTACCTTTCATAGTGTTTTCGGTCCAAATAATTCGTTTGTGCGTAAAAGAATTTTCTTGCCTCCTATATTTTTAAATATTAACAGTAGAAAAACCAACCTACAAACTTGATCACGTGTAATATACCACATATCTATTGAAAATCGTAGAAAATATCCTTATTTGAAATCTTTTGTTGAAAATACTCATGCTGTCAAGATCAATCAGCTGTGCCATTAAATTCCATTAAATAGGGAAAAATGAACAAAATAGAAATGCCAAAATCTTCGGTTAGTATTTCCCTCTTTAATAAAACCCACAGAAAACCATTAAGGAGGTTTTGCGCAAGACGAGCAAACACGAAGTTGAGAAATCCAAGTGCAAACCCACGTTTTAAGATCTAATCCTCCTTTACCATGATACTGCAGGTTTCTTTCAACACGTTTGAAGGTCCAAAAACTACCATTCTTCAGCAACGGTGTGACATTTAGGGCCCGTGATTCTCATTATTGTAGAATGAGAATGAAAAATATAGTCGTTATTGGACCTCACACAAGAGATAGAAATTCAATCATTTTTATGGATGAAAAGTGAGAAACAAACATAGGCTTACTTGTACATGCAAGTCTTTGTTTTTCGAAATGCGTGCATGAAATTTGTGAAATTTTGGAATGGCGTTTTGAAATTAGTTGTTTTTGTTATATTTACAGTTTCATTGTGAATGGTGTGCATGCAAGGATAAAGGTTGCTTGAAATTCATGTAGTTGTGCCTAGGAAGAAAGTGCTACAGAATAGTGCATGTAACGAAGGAGTGAAAGTGCTACAGGAGGTTGTTACATCCTGGTATTTGATGTGGATGAAAATGGTTTGGGTGAAGTGAACATTGGCCATTTTTTGCCTAAAAATGTGGAAGAGGCGTAGTCACAATTGAAATCGACAAAACATTTGGAGTAAATCGCATTTCAAAGTGCGGAATAATTGTGATATGCTTCTGAATAATTTATTAGAGTCATTCAATAGCACCATCTTGAATGCACGGGAAAAGCCCATTTTGTCGATGTTGGAGAAAGTTCGGATGTATTTGATGTGACGAATCATGGAGAGATGGAGTCCTACAGCAAATGGAGGGAGAATGTCGATCCCAGAATAGTGAAGATCATTTAGAAAAATCAAACTCTACAAGCAATTGACCTGACTGCTAGGACATGTTCATGTCGGTTGTGGCAGTTAACATGTGTACTGTGCAGCCATGTCAATATGGCAATACTATTATAGGGCATGCAGAATGTTACAAATTACGTTGATAATGTATATAAGAAAGAACCATACATTTAGATGTATACACCAACAATATCTACAGTGACAAGCCTGGATACATGGCCGAATCCAAGACTAAATCCCTTGACACCTCCTGTATACACTAAGAAGGTCAGGAGACCAAAGAAGAAACGAAAAAAGGAGAAAATCGAAACACCGACACCGTTCAACACAATGACATCTGATGCGAGAATTTTCCAACCGCTAGTGTACGGTGTCAAGTTTTAATA